CCATGCCATGCCATGCCATGCTATGCTATGCTATGCTATGCCATGCCATGCCATGCCATGCCATGCTATGCTATGCTATGCTATGCTAATTAGCTATAGCAATATCTATATTTCTCAATGTTTTTCTGATGACAATGTGGACTCCTGGTAACTGCTTGAACAAGTCCCTGCAGTTTTGTTGGCAAGATTTCAGAAGTGGTTTGCCATTGTCTCCTTCCTAGGACTGAGAGAAAGTGACTGGCTTAAAGTTTCCCAGTTGACTTTGTACCTAAAATGGGACTAGATCTCATTGTCTCCAAGTTTCTAACATTGTATCTTAACCACTGCACCAAACTTCCTCTTCATATTTATATTTAATCAACATCGATGTCTATCTTTACATCATCTATGTATATTTCACAATCTTGAAGTGTAATTAATAATCAATCAATTTTGAATGTTTTGTAATCTGCATTACCATACAGGCTATCCCCTTGTGAAGGTGGATGTGGATGAGAAGCATTCCTTTTTTAAATGATAATATTTTTTTTAAAAAACCTTGTATGTTACATTACATCTGCCTGATTTCTCAATTCTGAGTCTTGCAATAAATCAGAAAGCCAAGCTATTAGTTTTTCTGAATGGATATGCAGTGTCCTGCTGGACTAGGTCATGAATATCTCTGTTGGAGTTCTCCCAGAATTCATGGACTGAAATAGAAACTGGCTAATAGAACTGGAAAACATACCATTCTTCCAATTTTCCTTTTTCCCTTTTCCCATCCCAAACCACGCAATTTGCTGTACAAGTAGTCAATAGCAAATTACTCAGATGTTATATGTTCAGTGTCTCTGGACATGAACACCCCCACTTTTGGGGAGTAATAATTGACTTTGTTTTAGATCATTTTCCCCACATGTGATCTCCACATGTCTTGACTTTAAAAATGTTAATTAATCTTGATTTATATTTTTTTCTCCCATGAAAAGTTTCCTTAATAGTTCTCTTTTACATTCTACATCCCTCCATAGATTTAGCCCAGTTGATATTGGCAGTATACCACGTTTCTGTCCATTAAATCCATTTTCAAAACAAAGACATAATTGGAATTCACACTTTAACCTTGTACAGATTAATCAAATGGGGAGGCTTGAATATTAAAATACTGATATTATAGCTTTTATTTTTCTTGAGGAAGTAGCTAAATCCTATGGTTTTATAAAGCAATTAAAAAGATAAATACAATGCAAATAAATTATACTTACATGTGAACCTTTATCTAAGATTTAATGGATTTTTTTGTCAATTCATTAATGGAATGAATAATGGAAACAAGAATTATGAATTAACATATGTGAAAGATGAGAAAGAGAAATTTGTCCCTAATTTAAAGTGTTTGTGTTTACAAACTCTTCCATTGTTTGTATTTGTGTTATAAATGATCAGAAATGTATTTTGCAGAACCTTTGATGTTGATGTTTTATGTGGCTTTCTTTTTAAAAAAAAACCTGTTGCATCAATGTATATCATTAAATACTCTTAATGCATAAATTTCAAACTTATTATCACCAAAATCTTAACTTGTTTTCTCCAGTTCTTCTGAGATGAATAAAAAGGGATCTCACTCCAAAACAGGGACGCATAACAGTCCATATACTTAATGAAATTATAGTAACACATCAAGACTGGGATCACAATTTTCATTGACAGGAAAATGCCGTAGTTGACTGCTATAATCTAATCAGAAGGCAATCAAGGCAGTTTTACAGATGCCAGAGCCTCTCTCCAGGAAAAGCCACAGCTGAAAATGGGTAGACCCCTGCCTCCTATTAGTTATCTAATATGTTCATAATTTACACTTGTCTAATTACATTGTCATTATGAAAAAAAATAGATGTGGGTAGTCCACAAAATAAACAGGTTATACTGCCTTTATGAGCAGGGATTGAGTGCCCAAAACCTGGCAATAGGCTGTGTTTCCTTTTTCATTTGTACCAAATTTCTAGGATGAAAGTTCCTGCAGTAGGAACCCAACTGCAGGAGAAGAGACAATGGGTGAAAGCTCATTAAAGAGAGATCCAACCAGAATTTAGAAGAAATGTTCCATCAGTGGGAACAACTAATCAGTGGAATGAATTGTCTTCTGAAGTTATGGGTGCTCCATCATTTTTCCCTCCTCTTATGATGATTAGGTGCTGTTACAAGGGAAAAATCCTGGCATTTTGTGGAGGTATACCTTACCTAAGGTGAATAATGAGAACAAGATATTCACAAAAAGGCATAGCTACTCATGGGTGATGGTGCAGTCAGATTGCTCAGCGACCTGTGGTGGGGGTGAGTATGTCAAATTTGCCAAAAATATTTCTTCCTGTTTTCTATTTATTTAGGACTGTCCAGACCACAGAATCTAACACTGAAATCCACTGTGTATTAATTTTAACTTACTCAATCATTGGCCCTCAATTCATTTCTTTCCAGTTAAATCCTATGCTTTCTAATAATGGATTACTTTGATATTTTTCTTCCTGTGGAAAACCATTTCAGTTTCCTCTCTTGTTGTGGGCAATGTCACGTCACCATTTCCAACCTCCTACAGGTTTCCTCTTTGACTTAGCTTGTTGGAAGCCAGCAGTGAAGGTTGCAAATTGTAACTCTGCAACTGTGAGATGGTGCAACCATCCTAATTGTGAACTGTACACTGAGCACTCAGACCATGATCACATAACCATGGGGGACACTGCAATGGCTGCAAAAATGAGAACTGTTTCTAAGTCCCGCTTGTTCAACACCATCATAACGGTCACTGAATG